CTCTTATCACAACCCATATATCCATCCATTGTGTCAAGCACATTTGTACATATGTTGCCATCATCATTTTCAAAACATTTTCTTTCTACCTGAGCCCTTGATATCAGCTCATTTCCCATCTCCTCCACCTTCCCAAATATTTGTTTTCTAAAACGAAATTGCTTCCATGTTCAAAAGTGCTTTTATACTTAGTATTTATTATTCTCTAATGAAACTTGCAATTTTTGGCTGTTGAATTTGAGTGACAGATACTTACATTCAAAACAGGAAATACCTAAGATAAAACTTTAAAAATATTACATGGATTCATAATAGTTAATACTGCCATAGCATGTGCTTGGCATTGTTTTATGCATCCTGTGTGTATACACTAATTTTTACTAGTGCTAGTCTCATTTCACAAAGGAGAAACTTGGCTTAAACAGTCAGGGTGCAGTATAGCACCCATAAAACATACAGCTTTCCTCTGGTTCTTTAATGCTTTCTCCCCCCTGCTATCATGACCCCAATTCTACCTTACAAATCTGGCTAGACCAGAGCATGTACATGGGTACAGATAAGAGCTGGAAACACAGGGAATACAGGACAGATAAACTCCTCAGGGCCAATATTGAGAGTAGCCATACCAGGAAGATAAGGGGAAGGTAGGGGGATAAAGGGGGAACCGATTACACTGACCTAACTATAACCCCCTCCCAGGAGGATGGAAAACAGATAAAGGGGTAAAGGGAGACATCAGACAGTGCAAGGCATTAAAAATACTAATAATTCATAAATTATCAAGGGTTCATAAGGGAGGGAGGGGAAAATGAGGAGGTGATACCAAGGGCTCAAGTAGCAAGAAAATGCTTTGAAAATGATGATGGCAACATATGTACAAATGTGCTTGAGACACTGGATGGATGTATGGATAGTGATAAAAGTTGTACGAGCCCCCAATAAAATGATTTAAAAAAAGAAACAAATTTTAAAAAAACTTTGCCTAAATTTGCTAACTAGTCAGTGGCAGAGCCAGGATTTGAACCTGGGCAGTTTGCCTCTAGAATTTTACTTTTAATTATTATGAGACATAGTCTCTTGCTACCAATCTATTAACATCTAACTTGGTGGCTGGCACATGGTGTGCGCTTCATAAATAGCCGGTCCACTGCAGATCCAAGAGCCTAATGGGAATGCTCTTCAAGAGACATTTTGACTGGCATCGATTAAGTTCGTTTTTGGAGGGTACTTTTTAACATTATATAAGTAAAAATAAATTATTCATGATTAATGGTTTGTGTTTGTTAATGACTAACAAACACAAAAGTAGACATTTAAAACCCCCAGTTTATACCCCCTAACTCACACTCTGCCCCCTCTCCCCTCCAGGTGACCATTGTCCCGTTTCCCATGATGGGAGTGTTGCTTCTAGGTCTTTACATTGTCATTGCTAGTTGCTGTTGAATTGGCCCATGCTCACAGTGGGTCTGTGCATAAGAGAGGTTGTGTATAACAGAAGGACACATTGCCCAATCTTGCACCATCATCATGACTGTTGAGTATGTTGAGTTATTTTTTTGCGGCCCTTGTGCCAATCTGCCTCATTGAGGGTTCCCCCCTCAGTTTCACTGGCTCGCCCATTTACCACGCTCCACGTCCTTCTCTAGTAACGGAGTCTCATGATGACATGTCCAAGTAAGCAGGCTAAAAGATGGAGCAATGATCTGGGATTCATAGGCTTTTCCTTGGCTAAATTTGGGAAGTTCATCACAGGGTTTTCTTGTCTTCGTCTGGAAACTTCATTGAAACTTTTCCACCATGGGTGACTGCCTTGGTTAATATTCGAAGTCATAGTTATACAAACGGATATACAAACTTTATATACGCAAGCAAATGCACATGAATATCGAGCTTAAAAATAAAATGGAAGCGCCTTGCTCTGCTGTCTCCTGTCGGTTTCTCACGCAGCTGCAAATCTGCTTTATTTCTTAACCATGATCAGGTATTTCAGTATGTATGTACTATAATGTATATAAATAATTATTCCCTACAGGTGGACTTTAGATCCTTTCCCACTTGGATCA